GAAAGAAGGAGGAGTTATGCTCATTGGTTAACAACCTATAATCGACAAGTTATTGGCCAACGAATGTGCTGATTCACCATCAGTCCTGCCCTTCTCTTGTCATATCCAGTTTCGAAACACCAAAAAGGCCAAAAGCAGCTTGAGCCTTCAGAGCAGGAGCTGTCCTTCCTGCTTTGGTCAGCTGGAGCTCTAATCATGTGAGAAAGTGGTTTTCATAGTGATTTGGTCATATATGGACAGGAAGAGAGAACTGCAGAGTTATTAACTAACTCACACTGGCTTACAAGGTTGGATAGGAAGGCACATCTGTAATTTGCACTGATATTGAATGTTAAGTTTAATCAAACCAAATACTGGATCCCTGTCGCTCAAAGCAGTCAAGCTGTAAATAATGCATAACCTTAACCCCTGAAGTAAAATTAGGCATTTTGACAAGTCTACAAGACTGAGTTTTGGAGCCATTTGTCATTTCTTCATTTTTCTTAACCGCACTAAAGTCTCGTCTCTTCTAACCTTTAACCCAAGCAGTTGGTTTAAATAAGGCTTACAGTGTGGATATTTAAGTCACTGTTTATCACTTTGAAACAAACCTTCATTTTATTCCTTGAATGCCCACACTGTTATATTGTTCAGCAACACTTTTAGAGCTTGACTGCGCTAAATATAAAGCACCATCCTTTATGATGGAGCATTAGAGGGAGTCAGAAATGTGGGGTTTATGGGACTGAGTGATGGTGAAGAAAGAAAGTAAATGAATTCAATAAAGTTGATGTCATTAAATTAAGCCATTTATTCCATTTTTCAGTTTTGCATTTGATGGAATTTCTCCAGTGATCACCTTTTATTCCCCAGCACAGTTCTATATCAAATCTAATCTCTGATTCAGCATGACACTTCGACTTTTGCTATGTGATTCTTTTTTTCTCCATCACAGTGAGGCACTTTATTTCACTGCCAAGAGAGCTGTAGCAAAATGCTGCACCAGAAGCCGTCTTGAACCAAACATGACCTGACCATATGGCATTAGAGCCCTCAGCGGCCGTATACATGCATAAAACGGCATGACTAGGAAGTGTCACCCGGAGGAGCTGAAGTCTTTTGGTTGAACATATAGACAATCAAAAGGGAGGACAGGAGATTTTTTCTTTTTTGTACCTATTTTAGAGACTGCATAGTAGATCATAGTGTATTTTTCTATGGAGCTGAAATTAAATAAGTGATGTGGAGCTTTGTGCTTGATATGAATATTACTTCATCTCAAATCCTTCCTGCTTTGGTTAGCTGGAGCTCAATTCATGTAAGAAAGTGTCTTTCATAGTCTCCTATAGTAATATCCCACTCATTCAGACATTTTCTTTATCATTACAATGGGTGAAATCTGCTACTAAACAACGTATCTCTTAAAGAATAAGACATTTTATTGCACAATTTACAGATTCATACGTTGTAATTGCTTGGATTGGTTATGCATGTCATGACTGGAAGTTTCTCACTTTTTTTTTACTGTAAAATGGTGGTTACATCCAACTTTGACCACTGAGCCTTTGGATTGGACTCCCACAAATTGTCATAAGTATAATGTGTCATCAAGACTGCAAGGCAAAAAGTGTTAATTAAGGCCACCTTTCAGACCTTTGTCACTGATATCAAAGTGAGTTTTGAGTCTGTAGCCCAATCAAACTACTGTTTGGTAAATGCATTGATGTTTAAATGGCACCTTTCTAGTCCATTTGAACACTCAGAATTACACACTGTCTAGCATTCATATGCACACTCACTCCAGTGGATGTATTGGGGCAAACCAAGGGTTCACCTTGAACTTTGACACATGAACTGGGTTGGCCAGGGATCGATCTGACGACTTTCTGATTGGTATTGGATAGGCTGTACCACCTACCACAGTAATTCTGCAGAATAAGAGTGAGCCGATGTCATTAAAGGTGCTCAGGTGGTGGGAAACTGAAAGACATGC